GGGGGGTCTGGGGATGTGGCTTAGTGGTCAAGTGCCCCTGTACTTTAAAAAAAAAAAAAAAGCTGAGGATATAGTTCAGTGATAAAACACCCCTGAGTTCAATCCCCAGTACCAAAATAAATTTGAAAAATATATAATAGGCTGGGTTGTAGCTCAGCAGTAGAGTACTTGCCTGGCAAGTGTGAGGCACTGGGTTTGATCCTCAGCTGCATGTTAAAAAAAAAAAAAAAAGTAAATAAACAAAATGAAGGTGTTGTGTTCATCTACAACTAAACAAAAAATTTAAAAATCTAATATAAGGTCCTTGCCCACAAGAAACTTGCTTCTAGCTAAAAAGACAAAAGATAATACTTTTTAAAAATAGGTAACTTAAATGTCCATCAACAGCAGAATGGATAGAAATAAGCAATACTAGGATTTGAACCCAGAGCCTCACACATGCTGGGCATGCACTCTACCACTGAGCTACATCCTCATCCTATATGACAGCATACTGCAGTACAATTTTAATTCTCATTTTTGACACACTGGGTTGCTGAGGCTGGCCTTGCACTTGTGATTCTCCTGCCTCAGCCTCCAAAGAGGTTGGAAATATAGATGTGCGCCACTGTGCCTGACCTATAAATATGTTTTAATAGTTAATGAAAATGAACATTGTTACACAACATCTATTTCTCACACAATGTTCGGTAAAGGAAACCGGACATAAGATAATACATAGTGAATAATTCCATTTATATGAAATTCAAAATACTGTAATTTTTTGGCATTGTGTGTTTAGGTGGTAAAACTACAAAGAAAAGCAAGGAAAGGATGAATGTAGTTGTTAAGATAGTTGTTATTTTTGTGTGGGGAATGGGAGAAGGAAAAGGTTGTTAGAGATTAGAAAGGAACATGAGGGGAATTTCTAGATACTAATGGTTTTTTGTGGGCTGGGGATGTGGCTCAAGCGGTAGCGCGCTCATCTGACATGCATGCAACCCAGGTTCGATCCTCAGCACCACATACA